AGAAGCATAATACACCGTGAGCACCAATAATTGATGTATGTTATAATTCTTCATTACCCTATCAGTGGTCTGGGAAAATCAGAAGAAAAGAAAATGCCAGAAAGTTATGGTAAAACTTAAGATGCGACAGAAGTAGCTTTCTTTGCTCATGCTGTGAGTGTTTGAATAAGAAGAATGTCCCTGCACTGTAACAAGCTAAAAGAATGAGGAAGACAAAGGATTTCACGAAAAAGGTTTAGATAGAAGACAAGGCAAGTGAAACTGAAAGGAAGGGAAAAAAACCATTTACAATGGAACAATGCGTGTACTAATCGCTTTGATATATTATACAAACCCAAAGACCCAAAACATTGTGTAATTATTTATAAATGACTTCTCCACTCCTGTGTATAATACCACAGAAAGAATAAAACTGCAGGCTACTCTCTAAACTATTTCTAAATAGACCTAGCTCAAAAGGAAGCAGAAGTGTTTGAAAAAAAATAATTAATGGTTGATTTTATGGTTGTCTCATTAAAACATTTTAATTACAACAAACAAAATACATTTGTGCTTGCAGGGAACAATCGTTTACCTACTCGACCCCCCCTCCCCTTCCAAAAAGAAGGAAAATGTTACATCACATATTTAAAACCTGAAAATAAAATATTCTCACTATTTCTGCAGAGCCCCCAGGAGGGGTTGAGCCCTGACTGCAGCTCCGGGGCACTTGTGCAGGATTTTGGAGCAGATTTGGCTCCCCAGGGCCAGGATCCCCCAGTACATGGGGACTCCCTGTGATGTCCCTGTGCTCCCCACCCACCAGTGGCCCCCAGCACACGGCCTGAGGCCTCACCCTGGCCACAGGCAGGTAGGAGAGGAGGCCAAATCCTTTAGAGACAAAGCCCTTGAGCTGCTCCCAAGGGGTCTCCCTGGCAGGAAAGCCGGCTCCTGCTCCAGAAGGGTTAATGCTGCCTCCCTGCAGGCTGAGAGCCCTTCCAAATATTGGGCTTCCAGGGCTGCCCACTGGTCAGCAGCCACAGGACCAAGCCCTGAGCCCTCCGTGAGCCTCGGGCTGGGGGCTGTGAGGTGACTCCAACCGGGTGAGGAGTCCATATGTCCATCCCTGCCCTCCCAGCCCTCACCACACCTCTGTCCCCACCCAGGCTGGACAAGAAGCCACTGTGCTCTGCACCACATCCAGACCAGCACAAGGAGATGGGCTGCCCCACTGAACAGTCTTCTAGTTTTCTACCTGTCTTTAAAATTCCTGCTGCGTCAACCTGGGCATCCCCAGGGATGAGTGAGCTTGATCCTTCCTTTCCTCCTGCAAAGTCAAACTTTCTGCTCCCAGGTGATGGCTTTGCCACCAGCCACGTCACCTCTCTAAATTTAGTTCGAGCATCCTCCACAGGCAGCTCTGCCTTCCCTTTCTGGCCATGCTTTCAAACACGAGGGAGCAAAAAAGCAGTGTTCTCCTGGTTGATGCATTGTTTCAACACTCATCCCAACATTAGTTCAAGCCCTCAAGTACTAAAGTAACAAAAGATAGAGTTTGCTGAGTTGCTGCAGTGATGTGCATCTTAAGACCTGAAAAAAAAAAAATTATGTGCCTCTGACTTCTCTGAGGCATCTTCCAACTGAGGGAGCAGTTTTACTGGGACCACTGGTTTCCAATCTTGGAGAGAAGAGTGATGCTAACACTGCCCTAATGATCATAATTCTGGTTGTTTAGAAATGAGAGGCTGATTGCTAACGTGGAGATTTATTTACCTTTACGAGGTCCAAAAAACATTTACCAGGGAATGGCATCTTCTCCTTGACTGGCTTTTTCCATGAAGGAAACAGTGCATCCAGAGAGCAGTGCCAGGCACCTGGCAGCACATTTTCTCCAAAAGCCTTTCCTCCAGCTTTATTCATGAATTCCTACTTTTTCTGGAGTCCACTCATGATGTCTCAACACGAGGGCAGAGGAAGGAGCTTCGTGCTTGAGGCCTCACAAGTGTTAAATCTGTTTGAATCTTTTTTTCTCTCTTTTTTTAAATGCTGTAAAGTGTCTCAAAGCCAATGATAAACCATTTTCTTAGAGCTCAAAATATGAAACTAATAACATCCCTGAGTCCATCTGAGCCCAGCTGCACTTACCTCAAGGTGGAAAAGTTAATATCAAAGGCTAAAACTCAGAATAAGGTCATCAGTGAGATGTTGGGAGCACACTCTGTGTTCCTTGAAATCAATGGTCCTGTTCCATTTCGGAATCTTTTTCTTTCCCAATCCCAGGAAATTTCAGGAAACTTCAGCAGCTGACTTCCATAGGGGCAGGCCCATAAGGTGTAAGAGCTATTATCTGTGTTGGCTGAATAATTTATCTGCAAAATTAGTAGACTGCCCGCGATAGAACTGGTTGAATTATTCATCGGGAATAAATTATCCGAGATATTTAGCACTTCTTTCTGTTTGCGAAGGCTTCCTGAAACAATTCTGGTTCTGTGAATGCATTCGTTATTCATAAGTACGCAGTGAATAGATTATGCAAACAAATTTCAGCCTATGGGTTGTTTGTGAAACATTCACTTCAGCCCTGGCTATTCATGGCTGTGACTGATCACGGAGACACATGGTGCTCTCTCCCCTCCTTGATTGGAGCACAAACTTTTAAAACAAGAGAATAACAAATGACAAACTGCAAATGATGGATAAGGACTAATGAATAATGCGCTTTCACCGCAAACTTTCAGACAAGTGATCGGTTGTGCCAAAGTCTGTGAAACTCTGGGGAATCATAAACATTTTAATGAATAAACTATTGACTGCTCAAAGACACCTAAACAAAAGACAATCAAAGTGTTGCAGACAACACTGGAGTTTATCTCCCTATATACAAAGTGCACAGTAACAAAAGTTGGACATTTTTTGCCATATGCTTCCATAACCTTTAAATTTTGGTCCCTTCTTTCTCCTGGTTCGCGCTGGAAACTCCACGGCCGATCTCTGCCTGCTGGCCGAGGCCTCTTAATTGTGCCGTCACTTAAGGACATGAGTAGCTCAGTGAAGTGGAACTACTTAGCGAAGAAAGTCATTTATGTATGCAAAGGCCCTAAAAACTTCAGCCTGATTGCAGGTCCGGTGATTGAGAGAGCCCAGTCCCTGCCGGGAGCAGCCAGGCCCCCGTCGCCTGGCCTTACGTGGGTATATTGCACAGCCAAGCATATAAAGATGTTAAAAAGCAGAAAGAGAGCTGATCCTGAAAGCTCGGGGCTGGCAAACTACTTCTAGTTTGAGACTTGTTAATATTCATCACCCAGGGCTTTTTGGATTGCTCACTTCTGTGCGTGATCTTCTTGGCACAAAGGAGGTTGTTTGGGGCAGTTTGCCGGTGTCGTTGGGTCATCTCAAAGCCAGGAGGGTGGGAAGAAGCAGAAGGAATAACTTCGATAGCAAACTCCTCGCTCAGGTTGGAGTGAAGAATGGTTACTGTGAACTCAAAATGCAGAGATGGGCAATAATTCATGCTGTCATTTTTCCCTGTTTATCCAAGGGATAGGAGAAAATCAAAGGAGAGGGAATCAATCTACATTTCTTGTAGGGGGAAATCACGTAAATACACGTGAGTTTAGGTACAGGCACCTGAAAATGGCTATTGATGGGTGGTGAACCTAAAAACAAACCTTTCAGGGAGACAAGTACCTGAGTGCTGACAATGGGGCACCGAGGGGATGCAAAGAGCCAGATGTCAGAATTGGGAAACTTTTTAGCCACTTAAAAACCTGTGGCTTCCCAAAGCGTGAGGTAGTGATGCCCAGGCACTGAATGGGGATTAGCAGAGGCAGCAAAAACTTTACAATCCAAACAGCACAGTTCTTTGTTTTTATCCAGAAAAAGAAGAATTTTATCTGTACATTACATATACATTGTGCGTGTATATATATGTCTGTGTGTGTTTATACATTGTACATGTATTATGAATACAGCCACCGAAGTTTATAAAATAAATGTCCTTTGGAACTTTTAACTTTCTGGACACCTGCAAACCCCTTTTCAAAGCGGAACCCACAAAACCCAGACCGCGTGTCCACATTCACCTCAGAAACGCAGGAGAGGATAATACCTGCTTTGAGTTTTACCATTTCAGAGCGTATTCACTTAGAAAAAAACCTCAAGGAGCAAGGAAAACCTGACGAAAATCTTGCACCCGCATCTGGCTGGAGAATAATCCACGGCTCATCCTCTGAAGTCCAGAGTAATTTTTTATTTGTTTTTTCCCCCTAAGCCCCCTGCTCGCAGCGGTTTAAGCTCCCGCTGGAGTCCCTGCGGCCGGAGCGGGACGGTGACCCCTCCACCCCCCGCGCTGAGCCCCGACCCCCCTGCCCCGCTTTGTGCTGCCCGCACACGGGGGTGGGGGACAAAGCGGGGGGACCCCCCTCCCCTTCTCTCTCCCCCGTCCCCCGGGGGCGCGGCAGATGCGCGGCCGCCCGCGGTAATTGCGGGCACGCTCCGGAGGGCGCGGCGCACGGGGCCGACCTGCCGCCTCGGCGCGGCCCCGCGGGGCGGCCACGGGGCCATTGTCCGCCCGCCGCTATAAGAACGGGCGGCCGCGCCGTCGTGTGCCAAAGCCGCCGCTCACACGAGCGGATCGCAGCCCGCAGCACTTCAAAGCCACGCGCGGTCGCGTGTCCCCCCCGCCCCGCCTTTCCCAGGGCTTCGGCTTCTTTTTTTTTTTTTTTTCCCCTTCTTTTTTTTTTTTTTTTTTTTTCTCCTTCGGCGCCGAGTCCCCTCTGCCTCCCCCCGCAGCGGCTTTTTCCTCTCTGTGTTTTCATACCGTTATCTCTTAACATCATCCCCGGGAGTGCCTTTCCATGTGAGTACGGGAGCGCCGGCACCTGCCAAGCAGTCGCACCGCCACCCCTTTAGTTATATTTATTTTATCCTTCCCCCTCCCCACCCCTTCCCCGGCATCTTCGCACCTTCCCCCTCGCTCCCCGTCCATCCTTCCCGCAGTGACGAGGCTTCTCTCCCGCAGGATGCCCTCCGAGGCGCCCGGCAGCGGCGAGGGCGCGGACGCGGGCGCTCCGCGGGAGCGGCGGAGGCGGCGGGGCCGTGCGCGGGCGCGGACCGAGGCGCTGCTGCACACGTTGAAGCGAAGCCGGCGGGTCAAGGCCAACGACCGCGAGCGGAACCGCATGCACCACCTCAACGCCGCGCTGGACGAGCTCCGCAGCGTCCTGCCCACCTTCCCCGACGACACCAAGCTCACCAAGATCGAGACCCTGCGCTTCGCCTACAACTACATCTGGGCGCTGTCCGAGACCCTCCGCCTGGCCGAGCAGTGCCTCCCTCCTCCCGGCCCGTTCCGCGGGGCCGCCGCGCCCCCCAGCCCCGGTAGCGACGCGGGGTCGTGGCTGTCCAGCGCCTCGCCGTCCGCCCCCTCGCTCTGCGCCTCCGCCTCGGGCCCCAGCAGCCCGGCCACCTCCGAGGACTGCGCTTACCCCCCGGCCGACAGCCTGCGGGGGTTCCGCGGGCTGCCCGCGGCCCCGGGCGCGCCCCTCCGCTAGCGCGCACCGCCCGCGCCCCCGGAGGAGGAGGAGGGACGGGGGGGTGCCTCGGCCCGTTGCACTTTTCATCACTCCACCCCCCCCCGCCCAGCCCCTTCCCCCCCGACCCCCGCCTCGCCTCCCGCGCCGCTCCGAAAAAACGGGGAGAGAAGAAAAGCGACAGATTTGCTGCCGCAGACGAGGTGAAAAGTCAATTTTACAATTTGTAGCTCTCCAGCGAAGAAAAACGAGCATGAAAATTTGGTTTGAACGCCCTGACAATGCCATGAAAAGGCTTAAGGGGCCGATGCGGCCCGGGGGCTCAGCGCGGGGCTCAGCGCGTCCCCCCGGCCCTGCCCCGGGGCGGCTCAGCCCCTGCCGGGGGTCCCAGCACCGGCCCCGATGGGACCCCGCACCCGGCGGACAGTGGAGGGGCTCATGCATTATAGATGCTGACCCCCAGCGCGGCCGGGCTGCTTCAGAGCGGGGGCAGACACGGGGTATTCAGCGACTGGACCAGAGAGCGGGTTAATTTATTCAAGATGTTCATTCATATGAAAATTGTATTTTTGTACATAAAGAGCTTTATTCTATTATTATACCTCTTATTAAAGTGGGGGTTTGGTTTTGTTTTGGTTTGTTGTTTGTTTTGGTTTGGTTTGTTGTTTTTTTTTTAAGAAATCGTACTTTTACCCTGTAAATAAAATTTTTAACGTTTGTACTGAATTTCAGCGGCGCCTCTGGAGTTTTGTTTCTTTCTCTTCAGAAGGAGACTGGGATGGAAGGGAAGGGATCACCCCAAGGCAGCAGCCAGCACTTCTGACACCCTGCTGGCCACAGACACACGTAGCTACCTGCAGACATCAGCTGGCCCCCAAGTCTCACAGAGAAGGGATTAGAGATGTTCAGGAGGTGCGGGCAGAGCACAGGAGCAGAGTGGTGACACAGCAGTGCTAGTGTTCAGGGCTGTCCTTACCCTGGTTCACAGCAGGAGCTGGAAGGTTCTGAGGGATTTGGGGCAAGGAGAAGGTGCTGCTCCCCTGAACAGGGTACAGAGCTCGTGGTTTTGCCTGAACCTGCAGCACTGGCAGAGCTTGGCTGGCCTGGGCTGCTCCCTGTCCTCAGGTCACGGGGTGGGATGGATCCTCTCCCCACTCACTCCCATGCAGGGAGAGGAGAAAGGGTGGCCAAAGGTGCATCTCATGGCCTCAGCACCAGCTCTGGCACAGCTCTGGCTCTCAGCTAGAGACTGGGGGATTCAGAAGGTCCACCCCCTCCAGGAAATCAGCTCCACTGTTGCAAAATCCCAAAGTTTCCACACTTTTTTACTTGTGTGTAATGGGGGAGCTCTCTGACCCCCAAAATCCTACCTTGCTGAAGGGCTTCTACTGTTCCTGGCTCCATCCTCCCCCTCTTTAGCAATGTCCCTATTGCACTGGGCACACAGACACCCTGAAAAGCAACACTTTTATCCTCTTTGCCCTGTTTTATGGGGGAAATGAGGCAGCTCAGCCATGTCTCTACAGCCCTCTCCAAAACATGGGTGAGTGGGAGCTGTATGGGCAGTTATCAGGGTGTTTGTGGGGAAAGAAGATGGATTTCTGGATAGATGGAGTTGTACAAGCCCAAATAAGTCCGTTCCTACACATCCCTGATGGGACAGGCCAGGATCAGCAGAATGAATTGAGTTTCATTTTTCCATGCTTCAGTTTCCCATCTTTAATTGGGATACCACCATCCCCTCACATCACCAGTGAATTTAATGATTTAATTAAGCAGAGCTTTCAGAACACTCGGGTTCTCAGGGCTGCTGTAAAAGCCCAAGAAGGAATTCTTCAGGGCATGATCATACACTATGCAGGGGAAAAGGCAAAGTGCAGACACTGAAAGCATCAGGCAGAGCCCTGAGAAGCTGTTCATCACACAGGCAAAACCTCTGCCTGAAAGTTAACCCTCCTGTGTAATGAAGAAGGTGGAGATATTATCAAAAACATAATTTGGGATCATATAATTGCCACAAAAAAAGAAGGAGAGGAGCTGAATTAAGTTTGCACAGACACATCAGTGTCAGCATTTCCTCCTTTTTGAGTGCCTGAGCCTGCAATATAGATACATATTTCCTTAACTCAGTTTTCATATGCTTGTCCATACAGACACACACCCACCTCTGTTTCACAGTGACTACAACTGCCGAAAAGGAAATTTATTGTTTGGAAACCCTAATAGCAGCATAATACTTATATTAATTAAAGACACCATCCAGCAGTATAGGGGCAGTTCCTTAATGATGTCCTGTTAAATAAAAGAGATTTGTGAAATCTAATTCTGGCAGTAACAGGTCTTGATCTGTGACGCAGTGAAGCTTTGCTTGCACCTGCCCTTGAAAGCCAGGAGGTTTTGTATGGAGGAGCCTCCAGGGGCTGAAATTTAGTACAGTCCATGGAGGCGGAAGGTCATCTAAAGTCACTGGGTCCCAAGACACTGGACTTCAATCTCAAAGAAAAAAAAAAAAAACCACCACTCCACAAAACTTCAAAATATCCTCTATTCTTTTGTGTTTTCTTAGCTGCCAGCAGAGCTCTGTGGACATTATGCAGTGTATAAAGACCATACATCTACCAGGACTCGGTGTATGATGGTAATGTTGCTAATGGGCAATGAAAGCTGCAAACTGCGTGGGGATACAATTAGATTCATACATTAACATGAGTCAGGGAACAGTTTTCCCCCCGAGCAGTGATAGGTTCAGACATAGTTGAACAAATCTGCCGCTGGGACAGATGGAATGCCCATATTCAGAGGCTGCAGGACCAACCTGCACCCCGTTTACAACAACGGGGGTTGTATTTATTTCTGTCAAAAGAATACTTTGGTGAATTGGAACAGGCTTCTCCAACTGCAAAAGGGTGGTTTTGTTTTGTTTTGTTTTTTTAATTGCACTAAAAATTCATCTCCTTGCCCTGGTACAGGGGAAAAAAAAATAGATGAATTGAATACTGGGGCTGATGAAATCGTTGGCAAGTCCTTTGGAAATACCAGGTAAAAAATATCCATATATAAAGATATTCATATATAAAAATATCCATATAAAAAACAGCCAAATATAAAATATCTAAATATAAAATACCCGTATATATTCATAGCCATGGTAAAAAATACCTATAAACAGTCACCAGTCTCAGTCCCACTGAAACCAGTGGCAAGACCCTCACTGACTTCAGAAATAACTGAAATACTTTGGTTTTTAGTCTTGGCACCACATTATATGTATGTATGTGCATTTTTTCGTATGACTGCTGATAGGTGTTGGTAATCCTTTGTCCCTGCTGCATCCGTTCAGTCACCTCTGAGGCATGCAGGCATTAGGGACCCTCTGCCAGGAGGACCTGCAAGTCCTCGGGTCTCTCTTAATTCCCCTTTAGTGAAGAGAGAAAGTGTGAGATGGCCCCATTGATAGGGAATCCCTGCGAGCCGGGAGCTGTGCTTCACAACACAACTGGGATTATCCCACTTTCTCTCTGCAGAGACTTCCCGTGGGGAAACAGTTCACTACCAGCTACAGGTTGCTCTTGTGCTCTGCTGACAGGGCCCACAGCAGCTGGAGCTACTCTGTTTCAGCCTTTTCCAATGGATTTGGAGTTCTAGGGAGTCTCCGTGAATTACCTGTGCTCAAAAAGTGAGCTGCAAGATCCAAAATTCTGTGCAGGTTTTAGATAACAAGTATTTTCTATGATTTCAATGCCATGTGGTGCCCTATTTAGTGTCATCCCTGCTGTGGTGAGGCTCAAATGATGTTTAGTTATTAACAAGAGCATCCTCAGAAGGATTTTCATTACTGGGTGTCAATCTGTTGCAGATTTTGATTTTGCTCTGCACATGATCTGTAAAATACAGTCTGTGCTACTACCTCTGAGCACATGAAACTTAATACTATAATTATAGATCTCTGGGGCTCAAATGCTCCATTAAGACCGATTTGTATAGTAGGTAGAGATTATCAGAGCAGAAGCAGGTGAGAACTGATTTTCAGGAGGTTTTTATTGGTGGCACGTGCAATTAAAAGAAATCATCAGGAGGAGCAGAGCTGCTAAAGATTTACCCAGCAGATTTCCTGAGGACTGCAGTGAGCAGAACAGAGATGCAAAAGTACTGCATAAAATACTTTGCCTAACTCTTATTTTTATAGTCTTCACATAACACTACTAGAAGCTTTTTAAATCTAGATTAGCAAATCAACTGACTTATTAAAAGCAGATTTATGCCCAGTAGCCCAGTGATAGTGCCCACGAGCCATTAATCCCTGTTCTCCCAACCAAAAGGTGTAATGGTCAATATGAAAAACTGCTGGAGATTCCACAGATGTTGTAGAGTGGTGAAGTAACAGAGCCTTTTAAAAAGCCTGTGGGACCCAGCCCTGTATTAGTCCCCAGGGCAATGAGGAGTGTAAGGCTGAGCTGGGGGGGTGAAGAGCCCCCTGCAAACAGGGTTTTCCCCCCTGCTGAGGTCATTGTCCTCTGGGCAGGGATGGCAGAGGCTCCACGTGAGGCCCTGCTGGTGCAGATCAAGGCTCCGCACGCCGAGCGTTGCTCCTCTTTTATCGCCGTTATTGTTTTCCAGTTGTCAGTCTTCCAGTTTCAGATCTACTAGACAAGAGTGAAAAGACTCTCCCCAACGGATAATGCTCTTCTCTGCCAGCGTGGAAATGCTGGTGGCACAGCACCAGTTGCCAGTCAGGTCTCCCACTTGTGCCTCCCTTTGGCTGTGCAGCAGCATCTGTTAAAACCTCCCACGACACCAATGGAAAATCATGAAACTCTGACTGTTTGAGAAGGAAAAAGGAATAACCCATTAGAGAGGCTGAGACAGAGATGCCATCCTTGTCTGTGCCATGGGCATGACTCCACAGGTACAAGAAATCCTTCTTGCTTGGCTCTTACCCCGTTGGATTTACTCACTGACTGCCAGTAGGACCTTGGCAAGGGCCAGGAGGATTTTGGCTCGGGTCAATGGGACAGAGCAGG